CTTGAGGCTGGTTGACTTTGTTCAGGGCACTGGGTCTGTCGGGAGTAGAAGGAAAAAGGCAAAAGTCCTGCCCATTTTAGTCTGTAAGAATGCTCAGACTCTAGCTGGGCACAGTGGCATGCACCCGTGATTGAAGCACTGTGGGAAGCTGAGGCAGGAAGATGGCAAATTTGAGCCTAGCCTGGGCAATTTAGTGACTTAGACCTTTCTAAAATTAAAAAATAAAGAAATAAAAGCTGGGCTTATTGCCCAGTGGGAAGGGCCTGTGTTCTATCTCCAGCCGTTGCGTTGAAAAAGTGGGAAGCCCCCACTCCTGCCCTGGGCCATATGAGCCCATTTTCCAGAGGTGCAAACTGAGGCTCCAGGAACATCAGGAGTGGGAGAGGCTGGAGTTACCCACTGTCTGTGGCTCTACCCACCGGGAAAATGGCCGCTGTCTGCCTCTGTTCCTCGGTTTCCCCTACTGGCTGCAGCCTGCTCGTGCTCCAATGATGAAGGGCACTAACTTCACCCCTGTGCTCCCAAGGGGACCTAAGGCCCCGCAGTCACTAACTCGAGGCTGGAGGGAGTCGCGGTATTGCCAGCCGCAGCTCCGGTGGCCAGGGCTGGGCCAGCCGGTGTCCCCCCACCACGTCTGCAGGGCAGGGGCACCAGAGCCTGAATGACCTGCTGTTCCCCACCCACAGGCCCCATCGCCATGCTGCCGCCTCCCACACCCTACACTGGGCACAGAGCCAGGGGCAGTGCCCACGTGGGGTCCGGGGTTGGCCCCCCTGTGCCCTGGGCTTCTGCATCTGTAAAATGGGTCTTTTCTCTTCTGTGTTCCAGATGTGTAAACTGAGGCCCAGAGGGCACCCATTCCCCTCTATTCCGAAGGTCCTGCAGGGGCTGGGAGCCCTGGGAACCAACAGGAGAAGGCAGGCAACCAGGCTCCCCCTGCCAGCCTCTTCGGACACCGAAGTTCACGCCCGCATCCTGTGAGTGGGGAAACTGAGGGCCGGAGGGCGGAGGGGGGGCCTGAAGGGCTCTGAGCACAGGAGCTTGGGGAGCAGCCGAGGGGGCAGCACCGCCGCGGAAGCCAGAGAAGGAGGAAAGGCGGGCCTGGGGGAGGAGCTGAGGCCCAGAGGTGGGAGGGGCCTCGAAGAGACTGGCACTCCCCAGGGGGCGTGGCCTCTCGGAGGCGGGCCTTCGTGGGGCGTGGTTTAAAAGGCGGGCGGGTCGCGTTGAGGGGCGTGGCCCCTTATGGGCGTGGCCTCACTAATGAATGAGGCTGGCGGCAGGGGCGGGACACAGAGGGGGCGTGGTTCCCTGGAGCACTCTCGTGTGGGCGGGGCTCGGGGCGGGGCCTCGGTCCCAGGGAAGTAGGGAGCCAAGGCAAGGTTCTGCCCGGGGGGAAGCCTGTGGACCGGACTCTCCGTTCTCAGGCACGCCCGTCGCTGGGTCCAGGGTATCCCTGGTGAGGGAGAGGACCGAGCTTCCAAGAGGGCCAGGCAGTGTGGACCTCACACCTTGGGAGGGACCGGAAGGAGGAAAGAGCGCAGAGAGGAAGCCTGGACAGCACAGCCTCGGAATGGGACCCTCAGCTCAGACCCCCCTCCTCACCTTCGGTGCACCCCAGTGACCTGCGGATCAGTGGGGGTGTGCAGCCCCTGGAGGGCAGGCTCGCCTCCATCACTCTGCCCCTGCCAGCCAGCCAGCAGCTCTAGGGGGGAAACTGAGGAAGCGCGGCCGTCTGTCCCTCTCCTACCCACCCCCCTCTCCCTGCCAGCCATGCCAGCCAGGCTCGGCACTTAACTTCTGCTCTGTGTCATCTTGCGGGGGTCCTCGGGGACAGCCTGGGCTGTGTACTCAGAGTGTATATTTCCTTCTGTGGCCCTGTGGCCACCTGCAGCCCAGACCACCTTACCCAGCACTGCAGCTTCCACCCATCTGGGCCTGTAAGCTCCCCAGAGTGCTGAGATGACAGGCAGGCGTCACCCCACGCTCCCAGGAGGTGCGGTTGGTGTGTGATCTCTCTCCTTTCTAATTGTTCGGCTTCTACACACACACACACACACACACACACACACACACACACACAATTGTTTAGTCAGTCAATACGCATTTATCTGCTGCCTACTGTGTACCAGGCATGTCGTTGGTGACTGAGGCAGCCCAACCTGGGCCAAAAGCCTTGACCTCAGGGAGCAGAGGAGACAAGAAACAAAACAAAAGAGAGAGGAGGTGTCGAGCCTGAGGTGATAAATACTTGCAAGGGAGAAGAAACAGAAGGGTTTCAGCTCTTGGCTTCACCACAGGGATCAGGAGAGGAAACCACAGGAGACAGTGTGGGGTCTGGGCACAGAGCAGGGCACCCCAGGGAGTTGGGGACCCCTGGGAAACAGAGGGTGTGAGCCCGTGTGCTGACCACGTCTTAATCCTGTGGGAGATGGGGTTGCTGTGGGGCTTGTAGCCCTGTGGCAGCCCCCCAAGGGAAGAGTCCAGGAGCGTATCTCCAGCCAACAAAGGAGGGGCTGCCAGCCCCTTACTCCAGGACTAGGGGGTGTACACCCCCCCCATGAATGGGTATGGTCAAAGCCCTCCGGGAGGCTGAGGCAGGAAGATCCAAAATTCAAGACCAGCTGGGCCATTTAGTGAGACTCCTCCATCCCAAAATCTAAGAAGGGCTGGGGGGGGGGGTGCAGCTCAGTGCGAAGGCCCTAAATTCAATCCCTGATACCAAAAAAGAAAATAAAAGAGAGAGAGAAATATGAGCACAGCTCAGACAACCCTACCCTGGAAGCCGAGGGGTAAATCCGGCCCCACCCCCAGTGCCACTGTCACCAACGTCCTGGGGACCTCAGGACTCCTCTGCCCCCTGCGGCCTCTCCCACCCCCTGCCCACTGCGGGCACCGAGGCGGCAGTAACGGGCCGCGGGAGAGAAATTACTTCCCTCTGGAACCTCCGGGCCGGAAAAGGCTCCGCACAGGACCCGCATACCGATGGCCATGGCCACTGGCCACCCAGGTTCTGCAGATGCTTCAAGCCTGGATGTGACAGAGGAAGACAGAGACACGGGTCACCGAGGGGATCCGGACATAGCCCCTGGTGCTGGACACCCCATGTGAGAGGCTTCCAAATGGACGGGCACATGGCCTGCGTCCCCTGTGGCCTATGTGGATGTGGCTGGGGACAGTTCCTTGCAACTCCATGCTAGGACATCCACTATGGCCCTGAGAGCACGACAGACCCCGCCCTGCTGAGGACAGACAGGCAGACAACAGGACAGGATGGTGGGACCTGTGGCCTCAGGACAGTGTGGTGGCCCTCAGGGAAGGCATGCCAGGAAGGGAACCAGTGCTCACAAAGGTCCCGAGCTGGGGATGCAACATTCGCCATCACCTTTTGTGTTTAATTGTCCAAGACAATAAAGATACAAAACAATTCCCAGTAGCCAAAAAGCAGGAAAGGCCCAGCGTCTACAGATGGACGGCAGGGTCCTCTCCAGGCTGGACGCCACTCAGCCTGGACAGGAGTGCAGCTGTGACCCTGGCCACAGCGTGGAGGGACCTGAAGGACGCCGTGCTCAGTGAGAGACGCCAGACACAGAGGACACAGCGTGGGCTCCGTGGACAGGAAACGCCCAGGTTAGGCGACTCCAGAGGCTGGAAGTGGACTGGGGTGTGGGGCCGGGTGCCTGCTCATGGGGACGAGGATTCTTCTTTAAATAAAATTTTTTTTCACCACCATCGATTAAGCCAGGCGACATCCCCAGCTCGGGTCTGTTTTCACTTTCACACAGTGTCCTGCTAAGTTGCTAAGTCAAGCAGGCTGGGCTCCAGCACCTTCCTCCTGCCTCAGCCTCCCCGAGTGCTGGGCTGACAGGTGTGCCCCACCAGGCCTGGCTCAGGGGCTCCTTTTGGGGGGTGAAGGGATATTCTATGGCCGGACAGTGAGAAGGGTGCAGAGCTGGCGATGGCTATGAAACGGGAGGCCTGGGCCAGGCTGGATGGCAGAGGCTCCTACGGCAGTGAACCTGCCGTGCATCAGCGCCTCGAGCCCTCGTCTTCCTGTCCCTCCTCTGTGCCGCTGGAGCTGGGGGCTCTAGGATTCTCGGGATTGTCCTCTGCAGAGCAGCGGGACGCCGGGCCTCGTCCTGGGATTGAGCAGGCGGAGTCTGTGCCCGCTGTCCGCTGTCCGTCCATCCGTCCATCCACCCGCGGCCGGCAGGGGCGGGCGGGGCGCACACAGGGCCCTTTGTGTGGCTCCGTCCTCATTAGGAGGCAGCCCCTGTCGTCTGGGCCCGCAGCTGAATTAATGGATGGGCTGAGAGCGGTCCCTCTCGGCTAATTGTGCTGCCACAGTGTAGGCGCGGCGGGAGGGATCCGGCCAGGACCCCGGACCCTCTGCGGTCACCTGCTGGCCGGGGCCGGGCCACCCCCATCCCCAGCCTCTTTGTGTCTCCATCGGGGCCCGGCAGCACAGCCTCTTTTTCCCCAAACTCAAGACAAGGGAACAGAGGGACCACCACCAGCCCTGGGAACCCCTGCTTGTGGGTCCAGCCTGCCGAGCCCTAGCCCGGTGTCCCCAGGTGCCCCCGAGGCTGATGATGGGCACGAAGGACACGTGGTCTTGTGGAATGCTTGTTCCCAGGTCTGGCCCCTGAGGACACATTCAGGGCTGAGGGTCCCGTTAGTGCGGTACTGAGGCTAGAGCCCAGGGCCTTTGCACAAGAAGCCCCAGCCCCAGCCCTTTTGACTTTTAATTTGGAGAAAAGGTTTTGCTAAGTTGCCCTGGGTGGGTTTCAACTTGAGATTATCCTGCCTCAGCTTCCCAATTAGCCGGGATCACAGTCTTAATGGACCCCCATGCCCTGCATTAGGTTCCTTGGGGGCTCCAGTGGCCTCCCCATCACCCTGGGTGACCCCATACCTGAGCTGGGCCCAAAGCCCCAAGTACAGACAGCGTACCTTTGAAGTTTATGCATTTTATTATAAAAAAATACAGAATCCAAAGTTGATTGTGATGGGTGGGAGCCCCAGTGCCAGCCCCAGGCGTGGCCCCACGGCCCGCCCCACGGCCCCTACAAAAGCCCCCGACGCCCCGCACCCCATCAGGCATGGGCATCCCCCGGCGGCTGTACACAATATATATTTATATTATAATATATATAAAACACAGTCAGGAAAGGCGGGTAGAAATATGAAATCTGTATAAATGGGCTGTTTCCTTCATTAGGTTGTCTTCAGGGAGGGGTCGCTGTTTTCGGTAGCAGTCCCCCCTCCGTTTTTTTCTGTCCATTTTTTTTTCCCTTTAGAAACATTATTAGGCCAGAGAGTGGAGGGAGGGGGCTTCTGACAGACAAAACGAGCTTATTGCCAAGTGTTGCTTCTATTCTAAAAAGTAACCCTCCCATCCCCCCGCCAAAATAAAAGACCCTGACAAAGGGCTTTAAAAAAAAAAAAACCTTTCCAGTCCATCCTCAGGAATACATTAAAAATAAATCACAGTATATTATACTTGCTGGCTCTATTTACAGAAATATAATGTCTGTCTTCTCAGTTGGGCAGAGGGGCCGCGTGAGAGCCTGTTTGCACAGGCCGAGATGTTCGGAATGGCAGGCCACGGAGGCTAGAAGCAAACCGCCCAGGAGTGGGGAGGCTGAGGCCAGAGGATGCCGCCTCCTGGGACACCGGAGGGGTTGGCACCACACACCTGTCCCCGGGCACCTGAGGGTCCGCAGGGGGCTCCAGCCGGGACCTGCGAACTGGGAGCACAGAGCAGAGATGGGACTCGGCCTGAAGTCCTGGGCTCCCCTGACTGGAGGGGCCAGAAGACACCGACAAATTCCTTTCCAAAGTCGCTGGAGACCGCGGGGAATAAATTAAATTAAAAACTCAAGTCTTTCTGATCCAACCATGAAAAATACACTAAAAAACGACGAACAAACAAAATCCAAAAAAAACAAAAACAAAAACAAAAAAAAAAAACAAAAACAAAAAAACAAACCCAACACACGGAGTCACCCAGAGGGGCGGGCGCCTCCCGACACCCCGCCCGGCCGGGAGAGCAGCGTCTCTATTTGGTCTCGGAGGCGGCCACGGCGGGGTGGCGAGGGCCCAGGGCAGGCGTCCACTCGGGCCAGAACTAGGAGCCCAGGAGGGTCCACAGCACCGAGACGGCGCTCAGGAAGAGGCGGCAGCCGCCCAGGCCGCTGCACGAGTTATTGCTGGTGAAGATCGGTTCCGGGGCCTCGTACAGGGTCTCGTCTGGAGGGGGGCACAGAAGATGGACAGCGGTCAGGGAAACTGAGGCTGGGGGGGGCTGGGCGTCTGTGCGTCCTGAGGTGCTGTGCTCGGACTGTGCCGGGTCTCCCGGCCTCCCAGGGTTTCGGGGTCCCCCATCACCCCCCAGTACTCACTGGTCGGCCGCACGTACACCTTCAGCCGCAAGCAGGGCCAGTCCACGGCGTTAGGAGGCGTGGCGGCTGGAAGAGAGGGGACGGGCTCGTGGGAAGGGTCGTGGCCCGCGCACCCCGGCTCCTGGTCCTGCTGGGCCCCACACCACACCAGCAGGTGTGGTGGCGCATGCCTGTCATGATCTGGGCGCTCGGGAGGCCGAGACAGGAGGGTGGCACGTTGGCGCCCAGCCTGGGATGTAGGATGAGACCCCGGCGCGGCGCTCAGTGGACAGCGCTGCGGGTGCAGCTCAGGGCGAAGACCCCAGTTCAGCCCCTGGCCGCGGTCGGCAGGGCCAGATAAGGTCCTCGCCGGCCTGCTGGTCACCTCATAAAAGCCCCTCACACCGCGAGAGGAAGATAAAAAGCACGTCATAAAATAACATTCGCCACAGAGATAGGACGGATAATTGCAATAATTATCTTTATGAAAGTCCCTGTCTCGGAAAGAGAAATGTAATTTTTCTTATATCACGGGACTTAATTTAAACACCTGCCCCTTCCCCCACCCGTTTCTCTGAACTAAAAAGTGGAAAAAATTCAAACGGAGCCGAGAGTGGAGGAAATGGGAAATTTCACTTCGGTGGAAGCCGGGTGTGTGTGTGGGGGGTGCCCGGCCTGCCACTCACTGACCCCGAGATGGTGCGGGAGGGCAATGGACACCCGTGGGTACCTGTGACCGCACAGCACCTGTCATTCCCACATCAGACAGGCGACCCCAGGACCTGTGCTCCTGCCTCAGACCCTGCGGGCACCGGCCTGCAGTAGGGGGCAGCTGGGGACTCAGACCCAGGAAGACCCTGCTGAGGGCGGCACCTGTCCTGCGTCTGTCTGTCTGTCTGTCTCTGTTTTTTGTGATGCAAGGCAAACATTGTTCACCATTGCATACACCACAGCATTTTTGATTTTTATTTTTATTTTTTTGCAGCACAAGGGCTTCAAACCCAGGCCTTTGCGCTGGGTTACATCCTCAGGCCTTTTGGTTCATCTAATTTTTATTTTGTTTTATTTTATTTGGTACCGGGGAACCAAACTCACAACCTTGTGATTGCCAGGCAGGCGCTGGTGCCGGCCCTCAGGCTTGTGATCCTCCTGCCTCGGCCTCCCTGGCAGCTGGGGTGACAGGCCTGCCCCTCTGCCTCTTGCTAGTGATATTTTTCTGACCAAGGCCGCCCCAGTGTCGGCACAGCGTGGAGCCCCAGTGTCCCCGTAAAGGACAGGCAAGGACAAAGCCGGGGACAGCACGGGGTGCGCGGCCTCTTCCTGCCCGCCCCCCACCCCAGGCTTGGGGGTGCGGTGGGGGAGCTCCGAGCCCCCGAGACTGACTCACAGATGTAGTAGTACTCGTGGCCCGGGCGGAACTCAAAGCCCAGCGAGAAGGGCGTGAAGAGCTGGAACTTCTCGGAGAACTTGAGCGGCCCGCCGGGCGCGGCCGGCCGGTTGCACTCCCAGCGCTTGAAGCCGCGCTGCCGGTGGTCGCAGGACGCGTGGCCCTCGCCGTTGACCATGTAGAGGACGTAGTGCTCCATGCGCTCGGCGGGCGGTAGGGGCGCCCCGTAGTGTGGGCAGTAGATGTCCAGGTAGTCGTTGATGCTCACCTCCACCGTGTAGCCACTGCTGTCGCCCGGCGCGCCCATGTGGAACCTGCCCAGGCAGCGGCCAGCGGCCAGCGGGGTGGAAGACAGACGGGATGGGTTAGCGTGGGATCAGGGGGACAGGCTGGCACAGGGACAGCGAAGATGGCCAGGATGGGTCAGTTCGGAGCTGGGGCAAAGGGTGGCTCGGACACCAGGGGACGCTTGTGGGCCGGACAGTGCGCTGGGAGAGGCCTTGCATGGACAGCCAGCTCCCTGCCCGGCGACCCGGGGCTGCAGTGCCTCTGTCCACTATCCCTGCCTCCCACCTGGCCCAGTGTCCCCACCCCTGCGGGACCTATCACCCATGCAACACTGCAGGGAGGGCCGGGGCACCCCGGGCAGACGCTGGGATTCACTGTGCCCGGGGCTCCCGCAAGCCACACTGAACGGCCATGGCCCTGTCCCAGCCTCAGTTTCCCTTCCAGGGCTCAGGATCCCCGAGACTGGCCCTTGCCTTCGGGGCGGGGTGACCCCAGCGCCTCTCTGGCCCCTTCTGAGCCTCCCCCGAGTTCTGAGACCCAGTCCAGTTCTTGGAGGTCACGGAACCACCACGGCAGCTGCTCCCCAACCTCCTGGCCACCCAGCGGGCTCCCTGGGTCCCCGACGCCGCGGCCCTTTCCCATCTTCACCCTGGAGGTTGCCCCGGCTGCCCGCAGCCCGTGCCCCTGCCCCCGGGGAGGATGGAGGTCAGCCGAGGTTGGGTCGGCCGCTCGGTTCCACCACCGCCTGCGGCTACAGCGCAGAAGCCGCTCAGATCTCCCCGGCTCTGTCCCCCGGGCCCCTGTCATGAAAACGCGGCTGGCCGAGGGGGGCGCGAGGGGGGCCCTGCGAGGGCCTCATTAGCACATAAAAGCCACACGCAGGGCGGCTGCCTGCGGTTCCTCCTCCTCCTCCTCCTCCCCTGCATGGCGGGGGAAACTGAGGCTAGACCCTGCTTCTGGCCCCACCCAAGGGGGTGGGATAGGGCAGAGAGGAGTCCCCATTACTTGTGTCTCAGTTTCCCCACCAGTTACTGGGGATTCAGTATTAAGATCTGCAGCCCCTGCAGCTGAGGTCCAGTGCCTGAGAATTCAAGGCAGGAAGGCACAATGCATGGACGCGCCCCGTGCCCTTGCGTCCATTTGGGGACGGGGAGCTCACCCCAGCCGCAAGATCAGTGGTGCAGGATGTCTCTCTGAAGTGGGGGGCCCTGGGAGCCCGGGGCCTCAGGGGCCGAGCAATTCTAGGCTCAGGTGACAGTTCCCCCTAAGGTGCGTCTCAGGTGTGTAACACGGCGGATGCTGCAGAGATGGGGAATACCAGGGTCCCAGGAGGACAGCTGGGACCTGGGTCCACACGACACCTGCCGCGGGCTCCTAGCTTACAGTCCTCTTCACTTCCCGACCTCACAGCTTGTGAGTCAGTGGCACCAGCGCCCGGGACCCGCCTGGGGACCCAGGTCCCAGCCAGGACCTGTGAGGAGGCTGTCATGGGAACTGCAGGTAGGCAGGCAGACAGGCGCAGGTCTGACCGTCTTGGTGCCCGAGTCTTGGCCAAGGCCTTCTTGATCTGCTCTGTCTTTCTTGGGCACGGAACCCTGGGCCTCGCACAGAGCTACACTCACAGCCTTGTGTTTTATTTTTTTTGTCTTTTTGAGCCAGAGTCTCACTCTGTGGTTCAGGCAGGACTTGGGCTCACTTTGTAGCCAGGCTGGTCTCGAACTCGCAAGGATCCTTCTGCCTCAGCCTCCCGAGTGCTGGGATGACAGGTATGGGATGACCCTTCTTGAGGCGGGCTGGGAAGGGTGAGCACAGGACACCACCACGCCCATCTCTCTCTGCTGCCCCAGACGCCTGCCTCTGACCCCGCTGTGTTCTATGACCGGCAGAAACTGAGGTTGTCTGGCTGGCCAGAAGCTGGACTCCAGGGTTCTCCTGGACTACACGAAGGGCCCACTGGGCTCTTGGCTTCCCAAGGCCCATGGCTGGCTTTGTGGAGCAGACCCTGGGGGTGCTGCTGGCTGGAGCGTCTGTTTCTCCTCAACTCCAAGAATCCGAAGCAAGCTCCACCTGGACTGCCCCTGCCTCACCCCAGGGCCTTTGCATGTGTCATCTCTGCCTCCGATCGCTCCCTGTCTCCTCCTGCTGTTTTCATTTTCTCACCCCCACAAGGCTCCTGTCTTCCCCACCTGCACCCTGGGGCCACCAACCCCGCAGATTCGATACATGTTTGTTGATCGAAAAAGTGAGTTAGAAATGTCAAAGATTCAAGGATTCTGAGACGCTGGAATTGTGGGGAGCAGAGAGCAGGTCCCCAGGACTCAGGGGAATAAAGGTCTCAGCAGGTGGGTCCCTCCCAACCCAGTGCCATTTTGTTGCTTTCTGGCTGTAAATATCGAGGGTCTCCCTGCATTGGCATTCTGAGATCCAAGTTGGTGGTGGAGCGGCCGGGCCTGGTGACGCATGTAGGGTAGGGTGTAAGGGAGCTGTTACCCTAAAACCCAGCCTGGGGAGCCCAAGATGAAGCCCGTGCCGGCCCCATGAATGCTGAAACCCCTGCGGTGGGCCAGCGCCCTGTAGGAAAAGCAGACAGACAGGACCTCTCCTCGTGAAGGGCTTGACGACCTCGGGGATCCCTTCCCAGCCAGGGGTCTCACCATCCTGGGTGTCACCCCGCCGGTGCATCCCTCCCAGCCCCCGAGAAGCCCCTTCTGCACCCCAAGCTACCTCCACCCTGCCCAGTGCCCCTCCTGGCAAGCACCCGGCTGCAGCTAATGAACTCCAATCAGCCGCCTGTTAAGTCACGGACCCTCACAGCCAAGGGACTAATTACAAGTCTCTCCCAAAACTGGGGTGCGGGAGCTGGGCCGCCTCCCCAGACTAAACTGAGGCAGCCCGGCTCCATCTGCAGTTGGTTTTGGCATTGTCTCCTCTGCAGTCCATCAGTCTGTCTGCCTTTCCCTCCTTCCTTTCTATAGAAATGGAACACAGGGCTTCAGCCACTAAGCTGCATTCTCAGCCCTTCTTATTTTTATTTGGGGAAAGAATCTCACTAAGTTGCCACATTGCCTAGACTGGACTCAAACTTTTGACCCTCCTGCCTCGGCCTCCCAGAGCGCCAGGACCACAGGTCTGCGGCACTGCCGTCCCAGACTGACTATTGAATGCAGTTGCTCTAGGGCTGACTGGTGACTGGACGGATGGGACCCCAGGCCCCAGCACGGGGCATCCCCAGCCTCAGCCTTTGAGGGGCTGAAACGGGGCTCCTGCCTGCATCTCAGGTCTGGCCGGACCTTGAGATGAAATTCTGACAGCCTTCAGGGGCTGCAAGGTGACGCTGGAAAAAGATGATTTTGGTTTTGTGGGTGCAGAAAGAACTGCGGCAGGGGCTCCAGTGTGGGAGCAAAAGAAAAAAATCAGAGATGCAGGGGGGCGGGGGGGGCAGCCGTGAGGGGAGCACGGCGCTCTGGGCTCCAACCCCAGCACCAGAAGAGAGAGAGAGAAAGATCGGACAGGAAGGAGGGAGGGAGGGAGGGGGCCAAGGAGAAAGGAGGTGGCGGTGGCTGCAGCCGACCTCACCCGGCACTGTGGCCCAGCGGTGGCCAGGGCGTGCTGGCCCTTGTCACCTGTCCCGCATGCACCCCGGCCCTGTCTGGCCAGCTCAGACCTGGTGGCCTCTTGCAAGCATCCAGAAAGCCCTGAAGGTGGCCCCGGACTGGCTGCCCCGTCTCGAGGCTGCTTTTCCATGAAAGCAGGTCAAGGGATCCCCGGGCTGCTGGATTAGGATGGGCGGGGCGGGGACAGCCCCTCAAAGCCCAGATCCCAGGTCACCTGGGGAGACCAAGGCACACGGAGGCCACACAGGCCCGTGAGGGCGGGGGCAGGGGGGTGCATCCTGGCCAGCAGGGCTGCGGAGTTCAAACGTCTGGCGGAGGGTGAGACAGAAACGGCCGCCGGTCCACGCCTGGCTTTCAGCTGCGTGTCTGGAACACACGGCAGCCCTGTGAGGGGACAGCAGGGCCGGGAGATGGCTCTGTCCCCCCACCCCCGCACAGCCAGCTCAGGTAGGGAACAGAGCTGACGGTTCTCTGTGTGTGTGGCACCAGGAGAGGGCCTTGGGCCCCAGCAGCCACGGGTGACGGGGGTGGGGGTGGGGATGGGGGGGTGAGGGGGTGGGGGGGGGATGGGGGGTGTTGTTCCAGAGGAGGGAACCCAAGACAGGCACAGGAATCCTGGGCTTCAGGACCAGGCACCAGGCTGCCACTGGCTCACACGCAGAGGGGCAGGGAAGCTGTCAACTGCCAGATGCAGCCTCCCAGGCTCCAAGGCCGCCCCTGCAGGCTAGAAAGGTCCTCTGGCGACACTGTGACCCAGAAGGTCCCCCTCCACCCCTTGAGGGGACAGCGACCCAGCCATCCGAGTGCAGGAGGTCGGACCTCATGCCCTCTGCCTGGCTCCCAGCCTCACGCTGTGTCCACAGTTGCCACAGGGCCCAGGGACCCCAGCGTGGCACCCCAGGTCGGGGACACACAGAACATAGTCATCGAGGTACCCCAGGAAGGCCACAGAAGGAAAAAGGAACAGGGTTGTGGGGACACTGGCTGTCACCAGGGGCTGGGGGCTTGACCAGGGTTGGGTGCGGTAGTGGCCGAGGCTGTTTCTCTGGGCCACAGACTCTGGCTTGGTTTCCCTCCCCGTGAGGGTCCCTGGGCTCCTGGACCCTCCTTCGGCCTGTCCATGCATCCATCTGTCCGTCTGTATGTCTTCTTCAGACTTGGGGAGGGTATGACGCGTTCCCTGCTTCCTGGAGGAGGCAGAGGGGCTACTGACAACCACGCTGCCCACCAGACCTGGGGCCGGACCCCAGCTATACCCTACTCCCCAGCCGTGGCTCCCCAAGCCCCCCAAAACCGCAGTGTGACAACGCTTCTCACCCAACAAAAACCCCTCATGCAGCAAACAGGATATTGCCCCTTGTCAGCTGGCTGAGCCGGGAACAGGCACTGCCCACGCTGCCCTTTGCTGGCCCGGCTGTTGGGCAGGGGACTCATGGTGGCACATGACAAAGCAAGGGCCACTGGCCTGGGTTCCTGGAGATGATGCCAGCCCAAGAGCCCCTCAGCCTGGTCCCTAGGCGGCCTGTGTGACGCCGACCCCTGGCCATCCACACCTGGCCCCCGTCAGTGCTCAGAAAACGGGTGCAAACAGCAAGGTCGCCGCCCGGGCCAGGGGTCCTGGGTGACAGGGATGTTCCCAGTGTGGGCACAACCCCCCCACATGTGTGCACATGTGTGTCCTCCGCCCGCAGACACATGCACACACACACGAGCATCACCCACACAGGCGTGCGCCCCACCATGGCAGCCTTCTGCCTGACACACGCATGCAGATGTGACGCACACACGCGTGTGTCCTCCGCTCACAGACCTGCACACGCCAATGGCAGAGACAGTCGTGCAGGGATTCTAGCAGCACCCTGAAACACACACACACACACACACACACACACACACACACACACGCACACACACGCACACACACACTTGCCCCCTCCGGACCTGGGGCCACCATGCCTGTCCACAGCAGTCCAGCCGGCAGTGGACCAGCCCAGAGACACCCAGCAGGCTGGCTCAAGGCGCCCAGCCGGCCGGGTAGCAGACTGGCCGGCAGGGCCCCACCCTTTGGTGGCCCGAGAGAAGCAATGGCTCATGGAGAGAGGCATGGCTCCGTGATGACACTGGCCACCGTCACAGCAGGGGAGGCCACTGGGAAAATGGCTATGTCCTTATTATCACCCTGGTGCAAGACCCGGTGGGCGGGTAGCCAGCCCTACTGCAGTGCTGCCCACCCACGGGCTCCATGTCCCTTGAGGGCGCCTGTCCCCAGGCTCCTCCGTGGTCATCGCTCTCAGGGAACCCGCCCTCCCCACCGCCGTCCGCCCTGTGTGCCGTCCTCTCCTATGCCAGTACCCCGACCTGGGCTCTTCTGCGGCCCCCACCTCTCCATCTCTGTCCCTCCCCACCCTTCCTGGCCTCACCCCGAGTGCTGCCCCTGCCCCTCTCCCTGGGCCAATGCCCCACGTCCCCACTCACCCTGGTGCCCTCGGACAGCAGGGCCTGAGGCTGCTCCTCTCAGCCTGCCCGACATCATGGGTCACCTGAGATTGCGGGGCTGCCGAGGACCCCCCCTCCCACAGAGCACCTCAGTATAAATGACAAAGCCCCAAACTGGACAGAGCCTGGTGTCCTGAGCTAGCTGGTCACCCGGTCCTGGGCTCCAGTGCTGAATGGCAGGCATGGTCACCTGAACCGGGGCACCCGGGGCAGGAGCGGGGCGAGGAGGAGGGTTGGGTACTGCAGGCTCGGCTCTGGGACCACCTGGCTGTCGCCCCACGCACACGGGGGCAGTGGACAGGGCAGGTGGTGACACACACAGCAACAGGAGGTGACTGAGTGGCCGGCCAACGCTGGGCACTGCCAGGGAAGACCTCAACGCCCTGGCGGGAGGTGCGGCCAGCAGCAGCCTGTGGCCCCGCGGCAGGTGGGGACGGCGGGGCAGCTGCGAGCCCCCGATTTCCTTCCCCGTTCCCGGTTCCTGGAGTGGCTGCCAGAACAAAGGACCGGCCACGCTGGGGGACGGGGATTCCGGAGCTGAAACCAAAAACTTGGTCCAGGAAAGCGCTCTTCGCCGGGTTTCTCCGGCGGCCGGCGACAGGGAAGCGCCTTAATCAAACCCACATGTGACCAACCCCGCGGGCAGCGCAGGACCAACTCTGCGGTGGCCCGGCCCGCTCTCCGGAGAGGCCCGGGCGCCCACCCTCGGCCCTGGAGACCCGAAACTGCAGCCCCGCTCCGGTGGGGGCCACCTCGGGCACGCTCCCCACCCCCCTCGGTGGGACACTGGCCGCCCTTGTCCAGAGCCTGCCTCAAAAGCGGCCCTTTATGCAACTTTCCGCCTGGGGACCAGGATCGCAGGGGATCCGAGGGGACTGCTGCTCAGGAAGGCGCAGGGACTCGGAGGAGAGTGAGTGACCGGTGACCGAGGGCCAGCCAGCAAGGGCCCTCGTATGCAGGTCGAGAGACCCCGAGTTCCAGGCTGACCACCCGGAGTCCCAGGAGCTAGAGACCCTGCCTCACAGCGGGAGGATCTCCAGATCGCCTCTGCTTCTGAGACCCCCGAATGGCCCGGCGGGGTTCTGAGGACTCCGGGATGTGGTCAGTGGCCAGCAAACTTTTCTTACTCGGACTAGAGGGGGCCTTCTGTCGTCCCCCAAATTGTACTCTGTGTCCAGCACACACCCAGTGGGACAGAGGGACGTAGGCAGTGGGCGGCAGGGCCCCACAGCCGGGCGTGGCAGGCTGGGCACCAGGTCACCCAGGTCCCACCCCAGCTCTGCTGCTCTCCCCATGACCTTGAGGCAGCTCCTGGTCCCCCCGCACCTCAGTTTCCCCATCAGCGCCAAAAGGAGGGAAGCGAACACTGCCTGATTCCACCTCCCAGCTAGACCGCAGCCCCTCGGGTGCCCCCCGCTCTCCATCCCTGCAAACTGGGGGCAGGACCCCTGGAGTGGACGCGGGGGCGGGCAGGACCAGTCCAACTTCTCAAGTTCATCTGGGGACCTTCGCGCAGGACGTGCCACGAGATCCGGCTTTGGAGGGCCACCGTCCTCCACCTCGGGGGACGGCTCGGTCCCAAGATCTCCAGGGATCCCCGCCAACAACTCAGCCCTGAGGGAACCCCCTGAGAGGCTGGCGGATCAGGGAGCCCTCAAGTCCAGAGGGTAAACTCAGAGCGGGTCCAGCTTCTGAGGGTGTCAGCGGGGATCCCCAAACTCTGGAAGACATGGGCGCTCTGGGGAACGTGGGGCGCGCCTCTGCAAGGAAGTGGGGCGTCCTGGGAATACCGCACGCGAACTCCGGGGGGCCGGTCGTTCCCGGGGACGAAGATCCCCGGGTGCAGGGCGCCCACCCCGGCGGCGGAGCGCGGCGCCGGGGCTGGCGGAGGCCCCCGGCGGGGACGGGTCGGGGCGCCGTGCGCTCACCTGGGGTTGCTGCGGTTCCAGTAGACGGCGTAGCGGTCGGCGTTGGCGCGGGCGGCGTCCTCGGCGCGCGCGCAGGGTGGCGGCGGCGGCAGCGGCAGCAGGAGCAGCAGGAGCGGGAACCACGGGCGCTGCGCGGGCGCCATGGCCCCGGTCCGCCCGCCGCGCTCTCCGGCCGCCGCCTGCCCCGCGTCTCCGCCTCCTCCGCCGCCGCCGAGCGGGCGGAGCGCGCCGCGCGCTTGGAGATCCCCGCGCCCCGCCTCCGCCTCCGCGCGCCGGCGACCTCGGGCGGCGAGAAACCAGGCGGCGGCGGCAGTAGAGGCGGTAGCGGCGGGGCGCGGTGCCCCGGCGGCCCCGGGCACGGGACCCGGCCGCGCGCACTCTCGCGCTCAGCCTCCGGCCCTTTGTCCCGCCCGAGCAGAGGCAGGGCCGCGGGCGCCCCCTCCCGCCGCGCCCTGACCGAGGCACAGGGTGTGCGCGGGGTGGGCTGTGCTGGGCCGGGCCGGGGGGCTACAGCCTCACCCCGCCCCGGCCAGGCCCGGGCGCAGCGGCGGGCAGAGGGGTCCCCAGGGCGCGCCCCGCCCCGCCGCCCCTGCTCCGTGAGGCCGCGGGAAAGAAGGGGGGTCGCTGCGCCTCGGGGAGGGGCCGGGTCCTCTTGCACCGCCGCGCCCGTGCCCGGTGGGAGGGGCACCACTCACCCTCCCGCCGCCCCATCCAACGCCCTGGGTACGCAAAAGTCTGAATGAGCCCGGGCCCTGGAGTCCAGCAGGCCCGAAGCCTACGCCCTCCGAAGCCCCAGAGCCCCAAAGCGGATGCCTCTCTCCTGCCATCGGTCTCCACCCCCTACCCCTCCCCTCCCCTCCCGGGCTGTTCTGGGGCGCACAGTAAGCGGCCCGAAGCACGGTGAGTCTGAAAAACTCAGGCCCGTGCAGAAAGCCGGGCTGCAAATCCACGCCGGCCCAGGGATCCCGCAGGCGGGAGCAGACCGGAAAGAGGACACCGATTCGTGCTAAGTCTGGCCCCGGCCTGTTTTCTACTTCTGCCCTTATTCAAGCCACCAGCTCCCGCATCAGAACCAAGCTTGTGGAGGGTAGTGTCACCAGGGTCCAGCATGGGTCTGCCACTCACTCGCCACATCTGTGGGCACCCCTTCTGGGCTCGGGGCTTTGGGACTTGGGAAGGATGGATCACAGGAAGGGGCCATGGCACATGGGCCCTGTCCCGGAGCTCCCCCTCCCTGCCTCTCTGCAGATCACATCAGCAGGTCCTTGTCTCAGCCTGGATCTTTGCTTCCTGTTAAAATCCAACTTGTCCTTTGTGATCTGCTCCCCTGCCCCAAGACTGCCCCCATCAGGAGGAGGGGCTCTGTCTCCCTCCTACAGGGACTTCAACCTGTCTGTCCCAGGCTGCAAGCCAGGTCCCACAACTTCACCCCTATTTTTTTGGAGACTGTGTAGTGCAGAATGGCCCTGAACTCGCTGCAATCCTCCTGCCTCAGCCTCCCAAATGCTGGAATTATAGGCTTGTGTCACCACACCCCAACCAAATACCCAGTTTGCAGGCCCAGTGTTGTCCTGCAGTGATCCTTGGTAGCCCCTGGAATGAGGGCCGAGGCTGGCAATGGTCCACACTAAGGCAGGGTGGGTCCAGGGTTGCAGGACCTCTGTCCAGGGAAGGAAGCTGGGGTGGGGGCTGGCCTGGCTCCCAGAGGGAGAGGGCTGAGGGCACAGGTGGCATCCTCTGAACATGGGACCCCTGGAGTGGGGCCGTGGGGGTCTCCTTGCTCACCTCTAGCTGGGCAGGGGCGTGGAGGTGCAGGGTGAGGGGACCCCTCCCCAGGCCCGAGGCTGGCTCATTTGCATGCAGGGCCCACCAAGGCAGGAGCCATGGCTGCCACCCGGATTTGCGCAGAAGCTCTGCACTCGGCTCTCCCTCTGTTCTCGTCTCTCTCTCAAGGTCAGAGCCCAAGCGGGGACAGGAACAAAGGCAGCGCGTCCCCCATTCCACCGCCCTGCACCCGCCGACCGCTGCAGAGGACTGGCCAGACGGCCAGTGGAGGGAAGGACTGGCGGCTCTGGGGACCCCGGGCCCTGTCCTTCCCTGGCCAGCTCTGCCCCAGTCTGCAGAGGTAGGGGTCAGGTGGGGTGAGGGGTCAACTGGGGAGCTTCCCTGGAGGCAAGGGTCAGAGGTCAGGCTCTCCATAGAGACAAGAGTCACACAGGGTCAGAAGTTATGTAGATCCATGGCCCCTGGCCCAGGCCTGGGTCTGGGGTTCTGACCGTTGCCCCATCCACCTAGGTCTGGGTCCTGTGCCCTCGGCCTGGCAGCGGGCCCATGCTTAGCACGGTCATGCCTGCCCCTGGTGGCCCAGCCCCTGTCCCTCACCCACCGCCCCCGCAGCAGGGCCAGGATCCGGTGAGAAGCCCCTCAGCCTTCAAAGGCCGCCGAAGGAATGGGAGGCTAAAAATATGCAGGGAGAAATTTCTCATTACAGAATACATCCGACCAAATCCACTGCCTGCGTCGGCAGGGGCTCTCGAGGGAGCCTAGGGCGGCTTTGGGATTAGGAGGTCGGGGTTGGCCATGGGGGTCAAGGCACAAACCCAGGATCTGGAAGTGAGAGGTGTCCCTTTCTCCAGCAGGGGGCACAGGCCCTGTCCCCAGCAGCCCCACAGACCCCCAGACCAGGACGGGTCCCCAGGCGAACCTGTCCCTGCTGCCTGCCCCAGCTCAGGGCTGGTGCCACGCCCCTTGGCCTGGGCTGAGGAAAGTCACAGGCCGGGTCCAAGGTGATCCCAGGAAGCCAGTCCTCAGCAACACAGATACCAATGACTGCACCGAAGCCACCCATAGGACAGGGACAGTGACCACCACTCCAATCCCCTAGGGAGGACGACACAGGTGGGGCTGACTCTGTCAGCAGAGACCTTGACCTTATCTCCAGGACGATGTCTATGGACCTTCGGCCGCCAATCTGGCCTGCAAGGCCACCTTGTGGCTGTCACCATCACCATGTCCTAGGAAGTACACTGTGGCTGGGACGTAAGTTATCAACAGGACCCAAGGCCAGACCTCAGGGCTGAGCCTGAGTGGGAGGAACTGTGGGAGCGATGGAGGGGGCAGCTAGGACCTTTGAAGGTGACACTGTGTGACTAAAATGCATCCTGCATCTACTCTGGTGGCGTCCTGGAGTGCAGAGGTACAGGCCGTGGGGGCCTTCAGGGCCCGGGTACACCCAGCTGTGCACACTGGCAGGTGCACACCTGGAGGCCGCTGGGTCCTGTGGTGGTGGCACCAGGTGAAGGGTGAAGGCACACGTCACCCCAATCTCCTAGGAGGAATTCCTGCTCAAAGCTGGGTGGCTTGGGGCATAGGTTGGGGACAGGATGTGGGGTCTTCCTGTTAGGTATGGGTCCCCATGGGTCCATGGTAGTGGGATGGGGAAGAGGAACAGATGGACAGGCCAGCGGTGGTTGCGGCCTCTTACCCCAGAGCCCTGAGGCTCAGAGGTAGTGAGCTTGGGGAGCCAACTTGCTCAAGAAATGGGGTGGCTGGACCCCCAGCTCCAGGTTGCAGTTTGGCTCCAGCAGTCACAGGCAGAGGCGGCTCAACACTGCCACCTGGTGGCCTTGTCTGGGCACCACACAGCAAAGGCGGCTCCCAAGTCTCTCGGCAGCTCAAAAAGGAACCAAACTAGACAGCTGACCCCTAGTTACACCACATCCCTGGTTCCTCTGGAACCCTCACCCCGCCAAAGGCACAGGTGGGCTGAGGTTTTGATTCCTTAAGAGAATCACTCTAGGCTGAAGGTAACAGACCAGAAGGAACCCTGGGGACCAAGGCTGTGAGGGATGAGTAGTTCTTTCTAGAAACAGAATAGGGAGGCCCTGTTCTAAGGCAACTAGAGACAGGTTTTTCCTACCTCTGCCTAGCAGGTGAGATCCCTCACCTGACCCTGTACACTGAGGAAGTGACAGCCCAGTGGAGTCTCAGTAATGACGCTCCAGCCCACCTCTGACCCAACCAGCCCAGCCAGGTGGCTCATGTGGAGTCAAGGAGGGGCTGGCCCCTGGTGCAGGGCCACAGCTTCCTTTATTGTCAACAGTGTCCCAGAAAGGGGTTTCCAACAGACCCCTCAGTCCACCTGCCCAGCAGGCCTCAGAGCAGAGCTGCCAGATCCTCCAGGAGGCAGCAGCATAGGTCAGTCAGTCTGTGTGGGGGCCACAGGGTCCTGGGTGGTGGCTGCCAAGCCCCAGCAGCTTCCTCTTGGCTCCCCCAACAGGGCGGCAACGGCATGTAGAAAGGTGAGGTGGTGCTGTCCTCAGCAGGAAGCTGGGCAACATGGGGGCTCTGGGTGGGAGCTGGAGGGCGGGTGCTGTGCCTGCTCAGGCCCCAGGGGCAGGCCACCTCAGTGCAGCATCTGGAAGGTGAAGGGGTCGGGTGAGTGGAGGGGAGCCCACGAGGCTGCAGGGGAGGAAAGGGTCAGATGGCTCTGGACCCAGCTCTGCACCTGCCAATGCCCAGCTGCCTTGGGACCCGTCTGGCCTCAGTCCCACCTGCGCTGCCACTCGGCAGGCCTTTCGACCCTCTGCTCCACCTGGGCACTCGTGGGGCCTAGAGCGTGTCATTCATTATTTGTATTTCTTAGCACTCAGAACCCTCCTGTCTCAGCCTCCCAGAGTACCAATATGCCAAGTGCGCATCATTTGGCCAACATCTTGGTGCATCTTTCTGTTTTCTTGGATCTCACGACCTCGCAGGTGTCAGGCTATCACGTATGCCGACGAACCAGGCCCCTGGACCCGTCTTAGGGTCCTAAGCCTCGCCTGGGTGGCAGTGGCCCGAGCCCTGGGACTCCAGCCACCCACATGAGGCTCCCTTGCGGGGCTGGGCCGGCAGGGCTCCCTACCATCTCAGGCTTCTCGACTCGAACACCGTCTCCTCCTCGCTGTCCGCGGAGGCCACGTCGCCGGGGTCCTCGGAGTTGGCCAGGAGCCCGTACCTCCTCCGCTGCGGCTTCCTCAACCTGCGCGGCCCAAATTCTTTTACTCAGCGGCCGCAGGAGCCCCGGCTCGGACCCCACCGAGCCACCCGCGCGGGTTGCTGATCGCCTCCCCGCTCCAGGAGCTGGGAACCCGACAGGGAGGAGGGTCGCTGGCCGTCACTGAGAGAAGGGGCGTCGCAGCAGCCCCAGCGCTGCCCGGTCGCTGGGCGCAATGAGCGGGAGGAGGGGCACACGGGAGGTCCTGGTGGGAACGAGGCGACGAGGTCGGAGGCGCCCAGAACTCGCGGGCGCCGAACTAGGAGGGAACGCAGCGGTCTAGCGCGGGGAAGGCGGAGCGAGGCGACGCCGGGACGCGGGACGCCAAGGAACCCCCCCCTCGGGGCGGAGTCGACAAATCACGTGACCGCCCCGCCGGCTTCCGCGTCAACCCCCCTCCCAACATGTGACTCTCGAAGCGCGCGCTAATTGGCTGCAGCCAGGCGCCCGCCGCGTAAAGAGACGCACCTGAACGCCCGGATGAGGAAGTACACGAGGGCCAGGGCCGCCAGGCCCGTGAGCACCAGGAAGGAGCGCAGCAGCGGCGTCCCGGCGGCACCCGCCGGCCAGCCGTGCGTATTGTTGCGCGGCGCTCCCGGTTGGCTCCCGTTAGCAGTCGAAAGCGGCGGCGAGGGCGCTGCCTGCGTGGGGTGAGACGACGGAGGCGCAGTGTTCTCGGCCCTGCACAGCAGCGCGAGGAGCAGCAGCAGCAGCAGCAGCAGAGGCGGTGGCGGCAGCAACACGCGCGGCCCCATGGCCCGGCGGAAGCGGCGGCCGCGCCCCACCCCTACACGCAGCTGCCAGTCAGGCGCGCGGGGGTGGTGTCAGCCAATGGCCGGCGGGGCGTGGCCTCGAGGCCGGAAGTGGCCTTGGCCCCGCCTTCGTGTGTTGGCCTCGGCGGGAGCCGCGCTCCGCACGTGCGCAGGTGACAGCGGCTTCGCCGCCGGGAACCTCACCATTCCAGCAACCGCCTCCCGGGCCCAGCTGGCAGCGCCACCTTCGCCACGGACAGCAGACACCGGCTCCGGTTCGGGGCTTCATCATCACCACCCCCCCCCCCCCCGTCCTCAGATCCGGGCCAGCGATGCGAGTTCTGCAAGCGGCGGCGGTGAGCGCGCGAGGCCGCCGCGCCGTGCCGCACCCCACTCACCGGGCACCCGGCCGCCGTCCCCGCGTGTCTGTGGTCACCCTGCAAGCACAGCCGGGGCTTTGCCCGCCCATGCATCCGTCCATCCGTCCGCCCGCTCTCCCGGCCCGGCCCGGCCCGCAACGGCGGCGGAGGCAGCGCGCACAGCCAGGCTGGTTTCACACGGTCTTTAATCAACGGCTCCGCGGCCCAGGAAACGCGGGGCGCGGGCACGCGGGGCTCCGGGGAAAAGGCCCGGGAGACGTCGTCTTCGCCGCGGGCCCGGCTGGTCCGGGATCGGGGACTCGACAGCACGGGGCGGGCGAGGCGTCCAGGAAAACAGCGGCACGGCGGGGCGGCGCAGGGGCGCGATCGCCAGCACCAGAAGGACGCAGGGAAGTGAAATACAATAAAACACGGGTAGAAACGGCCATCACACGCCGCGCGGGAACCCCACCACCACGTCCTGAACACGGTGAACGGGGCCCGCTCGGATCGCCTGCAAAACCCAACAGAGTCCGGCCCGAGGCCAGCGCGGGCGCGGCCAGGCCGGACCGGAAAGGGCCGCAAAAGTGGGGCGCAGGCAGCGTGGTCACTCCACGTCCACGGCTTGGCGGCTCCCACGTCCTCGGACTTGGCCGTGGGCTCACTCGCTGTGCGTGGCTGGGGACGAAGCGCAGAGCGTGAAGGCGAGGCGGGTGGGCACGGGGAAGGAGGGGTCCCGGGCGACTGGGGCCGCCCCCACCGTGTCCTGTGCTCACCGTAGCTGTCGTAGCTGTCCCTGTAGGAGCCGCCCGTGCTCCGCTCGCCGTAGCCGCCGCCTTGACTCCGGCTGCAGGAGGCACAGACACGGGTGCTGCAGGCGCCCCAGGTCCCAGCCCGGGCTCCAGCACCCCCACTCCGGGAGGCCGAAGCGGGAGGGTCACCGTCTGGCTAGAGCAGGAAATCTGCCTCGTCCGCACGGTGAGCGGCGCCGCCCGCAAGCCTAGCGAGTGACCCCGGGGGCCAGCGCTCACCTGCCGTAGTAGTCTCTAGAGCCGCCGCCGTAGCCGCCGCTGCGGGACTCGAAGCGGCCGCCGCCATAGCCTCGGTCGCCTCCCCCTGCGGAGGCAAGGCAGTGAGTGCCGGCCCCGCCCGCAGCACCCCGCACCCCGGGGCCCCGACACTCACCTCTGGAGAAGCCCCGGCCGCGGCCCCGGGCCCCCCGGAAGAAGCCCCGGCCCCCGCCGGAGCCACCGCGGTAGCCTCGGGAGCGGCTGTCCGCAGCCTTGCCGGCCTGGTCCACTCGGATCTGGCGCCCATCCACCGACTGCGGCACAGGCACGGGGGGGGGGGGTCAGCGGGCCCCAAGCTCGGCGCGGGCGGGGGTTCCCGGGCGCCCCCACCCCACGGCGGCCTCACCTTCCCATTCATGGCCATCATGGCGTCCTTGGCGTCGTCGATGTTTTCGAAGGTGACAAAGCCGAAGCCCCGAGACCGCTGAGTCTCCCGGTCCTTCACCACCACCACTGCGAGGGAGGGGCCGGTGGGCGCCACGCCCCCACACCCACCCTTTCCCCTCCCCCTGCCCAGCCCCTCCCCGCCCCCCCCCCGCACCTTCAGCGATCTGGCCATATTTGGAGAAGACCTCCTCCAGCGACTGCTCGTTGGTGTCGAAGCTCAGGCCCCCAATGAAGAGCTTGCCTTCGTCCGACGCCATGGCGGCCTGTGGCACGCGGAGTCGCAGTCTCACCGCGCTCCCGGGCCATCCCAGCGCCAGCCACACCACGGGGCCACCCACAAACCTGGGCGCTCAGCCTCCCCACCCGCAGTTACACAAGTGGGAAACCCCTCCTGGGAAGGCACACGCAGACCCCCACGCTCCCCTCCATAGACTCTAAGCCTTCCCCAAGGGCTTTTTCCTTTTTGTGGTGCTTGGCCATGACCTCGGGGTCTGGCGCTGAGCCACGCATGTTGCCCTTTTCTGGTCTGAGACAGGGTCTTGCTACCTCACTGAGGCTGGGCTCAAAGGCTCCACCCTGCCTCAATCTCCCCAGTGCCCGGATTACAGGCCTGTGCCAGCCACCATAACTCACTGGGGCTTTTTGGTGAGCTGGGGGTTGGATTCAGGGGCTCCTGCCTGCTAGGCAAGCGACCTGCCACTGAGCTCCGTCCTCAGCCCACTGCAGCGGGGTGCTTTTATTATTTTGGTACTGGGAATCAAACTTGGGACCTTGCAGCTTGCCAGGCAGGCAAGCTTATACCACTGAGCTACATGCCTGGTCCTTCTTGGGCTTTGAGCCAGGTCTCACTATGTAGCTTACACTGCTGCGACTTGAAGCCAGCCAGCTGCCTCGCCTTGGCTCACTAGGCCTTTTTAAAAAATTTTTGATACTGGGGATTGAACTCAGAATTGCTTACTTGCAAGGTAGGTGCTTATGCCTCTGAGCTAAATCCCTGGCCCTTCTAAATACAAGTACCCCCTTTTTGTAATTATGGGCTGCTCTTCTACCTAAACATCAGATGTTCACACAACGGAAAAGACCCCAGGGTGCTTTGTGTGTGAATTGCGAGAGATCCAACCCAGGGATCCTCTACTAGCTTTTTAATATTAAAAAAAAAAAAAAACCTTTTTTTTTTTTTTTTTTAGTGCTGGGAATCGAACTCAGGAGCTTGCAGCCTGCCAGACAGGTGCTTATGCCGCTGAGCTACATCCCTGGCCCCTAGCTTTTTATTTATCTTGGTACCGCGGATTGAAGTCATGACCTCATGCTTGCCTGGCAGGTACTTATGCCACTGAGCTAAATCCCCCGCCCTTGGCCTTTAATTTTTTGAGACAGGTTCTATGTCATCCACGCTGCCTTTGAACTCCAGGTAAGCATGCTGCCTCAGCCTCCTGAGTGCTGGAATTAACAGGCATGCACTACCACATCTGGCTCTTTTTGGGGCTTCCAGGCTGGTCTTGAACTTGCAGAGATCATCATTCTGCCTCGTGGTTCTAAATGCTAGGGTTATAATTGTGCAACACCACACCTGGCTTTTAAATTTTCACTTTGGCACAAGCTTTCCCTAAATTGGCCACGGAGCTTGAGTTATAGGTGTAGGGTTTTTAGAGGGTGCTTTTTCTATTACTGTGAAGTGCCCCCAGGGTGCTGTCAAAAAGGGCACCCAGTCCTGAGGTGCTGCCTTGGGCCAGAGATCCACTTGCTAGCAGGGACTGAGATGCCCGGAGGCAGCCCCCTCAGGGAAGCTGGAGTTTGCAACGTGACTACTCAGGGGGGCGGACAGGCCGACTTGGACAAGGCGTTTATTGGCTAGGAGGACCTCGGCCCAAAGATTGAGAAAAAAGCCAGTCCACGATTTGGGGGACGGTGCCAACTCGGGATTACACTTGGGGTTCAAAAGGAGACCAGCACTAGACTTGAGCACTTGCAAACGAGGCGGCGGGGCCGTCCTTCCCCACGTGGGATCCCAATGGCAAGACGGGAAGCCGAGGCTCAGGGAGTGCGGCGACAGGACGCGAACACCCGGGACCCGCAGCGTGAGAGCCCGGCCCTGGCGCCCCGCCCTCCGCGCGCATGCGCTGAACGCGCGCCCTGCGCCACTCCATCCGGGCATTCGGAGCTCCCGCCATTTCGCCACCGAAGCCTCGAGCTCGTCGCCGCCATTTTGCTGCAGCGCCCGCCAAACTGGCGTCCCGGGGCTGGGTGGGGGGGTGGGACACTTTCGGGCCGCCGCTCGGCCCGGTCTCCCGCTGCCCCGCGCCGCCGAACGGGCGGACTCCAACCCTGGGCCCGCCCCGGCACCGCCCCCTCCCAGGGGCGTGCCGTCGCGGCCCCGCCTCGCCTGGGCGCCTAAGGCCGCCCACCGCCCTGGGACCCTCGGAGCCGGTGCCGCCAGGGCCCTCACCGCTGAGTTGGGCAGGTCCCTGATGCGGGCGGGAGCACGGCACGGCACGGCAAGGCACACCACACCGACCAGAGCCTTCTAACACGCGAATGAAAGGGGGGCGCCCCGAGCCGTGTCTGATATACACCGCCGCCGGGCCCCGCCCGCTGTGCCCGCCCCCTACGCCACGAGGGCCAATCCAAGGCGCCGGAGAAAGCGGCCGCGCCTCATATTCATGAGTTGGAGACCTGGCTTAATTATGCCACGCCCATTCTCGTGCGCGGGCGCCGGGCGTCCTGATTGGTCAGACTGAGAACAGTCGGCAGTCTCCCGTCCACGTGCGCGGGGGCGTGGCTGACCCACTTGCGTGCACCCCGCCCCTGCTCTTCGGCGGAGAACAAAGACCCGGAGTCTTGTGTTTGCTGGGGGTTCCGTCCTCCAGAGAGTTTATGCCCCCCCCTCCCAGATTTAGCGACTCCATCCAACTGTCCATCCCCAGCTCACAGACCCTCCACCTTTATCTGCACTACCCCAGCAGTCGTGCCAGCTTGTCGATCTGGATGACCACCCGCGACTCCTAGAGCCCTGTAGCGGCCCTCAAGCTCCTGAATATGTGACTTCACGCAATCAATCCCAACGCCCATCTCAATCCCAACACCGAGAGTCCAGTTGTTGGGCATCTGAACCCCATTATGCTCCACAATCCTAATTCTTTCTCCTGCCCAACATTTTTGAGCTCCCCAACTTCATCCGAGTTTGCCACCAAACCCCAACCTGCAACCACAACTCCCAGCCAAACCCTGACTTCACCACCACTCTTGTAAGTGCATCCCTACACCCCAAAATTCATCTTGCTGGTATCCTGTTTTTTGTTTTGTACCAGGAATTGAACTCAGGACCTTGCGCTTGTCAGGCAGGTGCTTATGCCACTGTGTTATATCCCCAGCCCTTCTTTGTCTTTGTTTTAGCTATTTTTCGTTTTTTTTTTTTTTTTTTTTTTTGTGTTTGTCCTTTTTATCGGTACTAGGGATCGAACTCACGTTGCCTGCTTGCAAGGCAGGCGCTTATGCCGCTGAGCTAAATCCCCAGCCTCTAGCTATTTTTTTTAATAGGCCCTCACAATGCAGTTCAGGCTGGCTTTGAACTCACCTGTGTAGCCCAAGCTGGCTTCAAACTCAAGAGAACTCTCCTGCCTCAGCCTCCCAAGGGCTGGAATTACAGGCATGCACCTCCATGCCCGGTTCTGTGTGGTTCTGTGTCCTGGCTTTAGACAGTAGGCTGCACCTGGCTAACACCCACGGTAGTGCTGACTTAGCAGCTACACAGGACATCAGCTCAGGCCTCCTCATGGCATCTGCCATGTGGCCCAGCCACCCACAGCCCGTTGACCACCCACCTCGAGAGGGCCAGGCCCAACCTGCCCTATTTGCCTTTGGAGAGGGCCTCCCAAGAGTTCGCAAGAGGGGCTGGGGATTTAGCTCAGTGGCATATGCGCTTGCCTTGCAAGCAGGCAGTCGAGTTCGATCCCCGGTACCAGTAAAAAGGAAAAAGACCCCCCCCCCCAAAAAAAAGAGTTCCCAAGAGCTCTGCAGTTAGGATGAGGGCAAACAGCTTGATGAGGAGGCCCCACAAACTAAAGCAGCTCCTGGGAGGGACCCTAAGACCGCTGGGGACCCCTTCGACATGCGCTTGGGCTCATGCTCTCCCCCCAGCCTTGGTGGGAGGAGTAAACTCTGGGCCCTTCCTTGTCCACTCACACAGGAGACCCACAGTACAGCTCAGACCCTCTATGGAGAGAATGGAGGCAGCTGGGGAGGAGCACCCCACCCCCATTTTGCTGAGACTCTAAGCTTCACTACGGGCATCAGCGTGATTCTGACCTTCACCTGGGTCGCAGTGACCCGGCTGTCTCCAGTGACACAACGGCCAGGACCCCTGAGCGGCTCAAGAACCAGGCCCTGGCCCCGCAGGCGGCAGCCCTGTGAGTCACAGCTACCCGCCCTGCACACCGCGGCAGCTCGTCAGCAGCGCCTTCTGCCGCGTCAGCTGCTCGCGCAGGGCGGTTATTAAAAGGACCAGCGCGACAGCAGCCCACCGAGCAGGATGGGCCCAGCCGCCCACCCTGGCCGAGCCTAGCCCTGGAGCAGCCCAGACCCCCGCCCTTCCCGGTGTGTCTGCTCGCGGAGCAGACCAGGACTAACGGGGTGCCCCTGAGTTCCTAGCTCCCCTGATCAGAGACATCCAAGCGTGCCCTGCCCCCTCTTTCAGATTCCGAGCGCTCGCTGTTCCTAGTTTTGCAAAGAGCTGTGTGTTTCTTCACTCGTTCATTGATTCTGCCACCAAGGACACCTAGCTGTTCCCGGGTGCCCACTGTGCCGGGCTCCGCAGTCCCCGAGGCCATTGGGTCCCCAGCAGATGTGGATGCCTGTGCCTGCACACGGCTCACCTGGGTGGCATTGTGTTTCAGATTTGGCACCTGTCTCTGCACTTGCGTCCCGAGCTTAACTGCATCTGCGTGTTGCTGTGACTCTGCCGTGTCACCATGACCCTCTTGTCTCCGAAGCAGGGTGCCTGGCACACCTCCCTTTCCTTTCACCCCCCTCCCCCGCCGCGGCCGCCCCTACACCACCCGGACTTGGGCCCGGGCGCGCTGCCCGGCGCGGGCACGAGGGGGCGCCACGGCCTCGCGGTCGTCCAGGCCGGAGCCTTTGGGACTGGCGCTGGATTCCGGACCCAGCCCTCGCGGTGGAAGCCAGCTGTGTGGCCCAGCGTGGGAGACCTGGTCCTGCAGCCGCGCCACCCCTCGCCGGCCCGCACGGCCACGGCTGGCGTCCTTGGCCCTTGCCCACTGCTCCCTGCCGGCCCTAGGCCAGTATCTGAGAGTCGCGGGGGAGTGGAGGGGGACTCAAGAACCGAAGTGGGGGTGCTGTGCAGGGCCACAGAAGCCCAGCCCGCCCCTGACCTGACCCCCTGGGCTTCCCACTGGCTCGCAGGTACCAGGGTGTATCTCAGCTCTGCATCTCCCCACGCCTGCCTCTCTTCCCTCTCTGTCCCCCACATCTCCATCACTCCCCGACTTTCGGTGCTGGAGATTGAACCCAGGGCCTTGGCACAGTGAACCTCGTTTATTTTTACTTTATTGCTTTTTTGTGACAAAATCTCAACTATGGAGCCCAGGCTAGCCTCAGACTCACGGGGGACTCTCCTGCCTCGGCCTCCCGAGTGAGTGCTGCGATTACAAGTGTTGACCTTCACGCCTGGTTTCCGAGCCCTTTTTTTTAACAACTTTTTTTTTTTTTTGGTTATCAGGGAACAAACTCACGACTATGCGTTTGCAAGGCGAGCGCTTATGCCACTGAGCTAAATCCCCGGCCCCAAATCTTACTTTTAGAAGGGGAGATTTTACTAAATCGCTAAATGATCCCAATGGGTCCAACTCGCGATCCTCTTGCCTCAGCCAACAGGAAGACAAGGATGACAGACGCCAACCCCTGCTCTTTCGTAAATCACCCAGTTTCCCAGTCCGAAGTCTCCCGGTGGGCGTCGGCCGGGGTGGATGGGGCCCCTCCATCCCGCCCCGCGACCTCCCGGGCCCCGTGGCCCGGCGTTGTCATGGAGACGGGGGCGAGGCCATTTGCTCCCTCACCGCCCACTCCACCCTCCCCGCGGGGCCGCGCTCTTGGGACGCCTGGTTCTCCCCCGACCTGGCTAATGACCGGGCGGGAGTAGCTAATGAGCGTCTGGGCCGGGGCCGGGCGTGGCCCGGGATGAAAGGCGCGTGTGTGGGGGGCACCCCGGGGCCTCGTAATTACCGCCCCCTCCTGGCCGGTGCACCTGGCGGCGCCCGGCGGGGGCGCGGAAATGGGACCGTCCTGGCAGGGCCTGCAGCCCGCCCAGCTGGCCCCATCTGCGGGGCCCAGAGCCAGGGTGGGTTGCGGGAGCCGTATGCGTGTTGCCAGGTGTGCGCACGTGTGCCCGTGTGCCGGGGGCTCGTGGGCAAGCACACAAGGGATTGCTAGGGACTGGTGTGGCCATAGTGAGGTCTGGAATTGAGGGCTTTGCACAAGCCCCTCTTGTTTTGTTTGTTTAGACAGGGTCTTGCTAAATTGCTTTTTTTTTTTTTTTTTTTTGCTTTTTGAGATAGGATTTCGCTATGCAGTTCAGGCTGGCCTTGGGCTCGCTTTGGAGCCCAAGCTTGTCTTGAATTCGCAGCGATCCTCTTGCCTCAGCCTCTTGAGTGCTGGGATTCCAGTCATGTGGCACTACACCCGGCTTCTTAAATTGCTAAATTGTCCAGGAACTTGTGACCTTTGCTGCCTCCGCCTCTCAGTGCTAAGACAAAAACCACGCACTGTCAAGCAGCTAGTCTCACGCCTGTGTGGACGTTAACAGTGGGGCCGTGTGCAGGTGCATAGAAGCGTGTGTGAGGCTATGGGGGTTTGGCACAGGACGCAAGGGGGGGATCTGGCTCAAGAATTCTCGGGGGCTCTACTGAGGCCCAAAAGTGCCTAGAACCCTACGTGTGGATGTGGGAGCAGCTGGGGACAGGCTGGGTGGGCCAGGCCCCACGAAGCATATGTGCCCATGCCTGGTGGTGTGAGTCACGTCCCTGGGTGGGCATGAGTGCTATGTGTCACAGGCAGCCGGTGCTTCTGGGAATTTCAGGAAGCTGAGGGACGGGAGTGCAGGCCAGGAAGGGTTAAACTGCCCCTCCCCCAGCTCCTACCAGCACTGGATGTCTGCCTGGTTCCCTGGGGCCCCTGGTTCAGCTGCCGTACCCCAGGAAAGGAAGAGGGGCTTCACCACGTACACCTAGGGTGGGGTTTGCAGGCAGACAAGGAGGGAGGGGTCGGCCCAGAGGCTGGCGCAGCCCCTGAGCTCCCAGTTGAGTCACCCCCTCCCCACGGTCGAGTCATGTCCCAGGAATGCACTAGCTGCAGGTCCTGCCAGGGCTAGGCCTTGAGCCACAGGGGGAGGCCCTGGTAAGACACACACATCCTGTGACGCACGATGGGACACTGGGACACACACATACACACATGCGCCACCTCTATCTGCAGGGCACCCCCTGGATACCCAGAGTCACACAAACCCACCGCGCATGGAGCCTCCTCCTAGAGCCCCACGGGCAGTGCACACCAGACTAGAACGACACCGTGGGGGACATGGGCCACC